TTATGGCAGGGCTTTCATTTCTCAGTTAAATCTTTCGGCAACACACCTTTGGCCACAGGCCTGTTTCCACGATAATCCTAAATCCAGCCAAGTTACCGAGATTAACCATCATTTCAGGAATCATGGCCCATAGAAATAATTCCAGCACTCAGGAATCTGAGTCTTGTAGGTTTGAGTCCAGTCTGGGCTACACATGGAGACGATCTCAAAAGACAGAAAAGCAAACAAATCCATACCCACCATGTGAGCATCTCATTACGCCCCTCCCCCGACCCCCCACCCTGCAGCTTCTGCTCAGCCTGACAGCCTGACAGCCTGACAGCCCCGCCCCTTTCCCTGCAGCCTCTGCTCAGCCTGACTGACAGCTCCTAGCCCCACCCCTTCGATCTTCTCAGCTGGAAGTTCAGGCCTTTTCTCATGGGCTGGGAGACAGGAGGGCAGACATTAGTAATGCCTAAGGTCTGGTCCAGCAGAGATGGTGGCTGAGGATACTGTGGGGTAGAGGAGGCTAAGGGACAAGCATCTCAGGCGGGTGGCCACTGTGTGGTCAGTCAGGCCAGTGGTGCTGATCTGGAGCCACCTAACTCCATGGAGTCCACGAGCAGGTTATAGTCGTTTTCCTTACACGGTCCCACTTCTGGTCCCTGCACATATTTTCTCAAGTTCTGGGAAATCAGAAGTCAGAATTGCCCCCAAGGTTGCACAGGCTCAGCTCCTCCCTGGCAAACCAGCGGGGCAGGTTCACTGGTGCCAGAGTAGGGTGGTGGAGCAAGTCAGCTCCAGGGTAAGGACGGCAGCCAAGGAACACCACGACCTGTGAGATGGCGTGGGAGCAGCGAGATCAGGTCTCTCCTGAGAGGCGGAGAGCCGAGGCCGTTCTGAACAGCGTGGAGGATTTGCCCGGGCTGTATTACCTGCAGCCATTTCACCAGGCACCAGGGAACATGCAGCAGAGGCGAAAGATGCCATTCACACTTAGGGAAACTGTCTGGTGACACAGACATGTAATCTCAGGTACTCAGAAGGCTGAGACAAGAGGATCATAAATTCAAGACCATCTTGATGGCAGAGTGACTCAAAGCTTACCCAGTCTCAAAATAAAAATGAAAGGGGGCTGGGGGCTTAGTCAGCAGTAGAGCATTCGCCTAGCAGGCATAGCTAGGTGCCAGAAATGAACACCACAGAAGCTAGCCTGGTGGAATAGGCCTGTAGGAGGCCGAGGTAGGAGGATCACACATTCAAGGCCAGCCTAGGCTACAGGGTGAGTTCAAGGGCAACCTTGGCAACTTAGCAAGATGTTATCTCAAAGTGAAAATTAAAAAGAAACCTGAGAATGTGCCTTAGCAGTTAAACATTTGCTTAGCACATCCCTGGAGCTGGGGAGACGGCCCAGTAGGTAAAGTGCTTACTATACAAACTTGAGGGCCTGAGTTCAGACCCCAGCACCCATGTGCAGATGTGTGGCAGCATGCACCTGTGATATGTAAAAGCCAGGAGTGGCAGGATGGACCTGTGATGCCAGGTGCTGAAGGGTGGTGACAGGTGGCTCACTAGAGCCCACTGACCCACATCTTACACCTTGACTCAAAAATTAAGGTGGAAAAGCCATTATAAGACATGGGTGTTACCTCTGGGCTCCACATATCCCTGAATACACGTGGCATACATCCACACACCATAACACACACACACACACACACACACACACACACACACTCATCAAAATCAATCTTCAAAAAATTGTGGTGTGTGTGTGTAGGTTTGCCTGTGTGGGAGCATGTACAGACACTAAAAGCTGACATTCTGTAGCTGGGGTTCCAGGCAGTTGTGAGCTACCATATATATGCCAGGGATCAAACTCATTCCCTGTAAGAGTAGCCAGAGCAACCAGTGCTCCTAACTGCTGAGCCATCCTCCAGTCTCCAGACAACTTCCACAAAGCATGGCAGAGGTTTGCAACTAAGACCTCATGCCTAAAGGCTCAGAGACATTATGGATCCTCCCTCCCTCCACAAATTCCTTCCCTTAGACAGGAACTGGGCATCTGAGCATGGTTTCAGCACTTGGGAGATGGAGGCAGGAGGGATGAGGCCATCTTGGGTTGAGTGCTGTGGATAGCCTTGGTCTTGTATTTTGATACAAATTCCAGTTTAACAGGGCTGCAGATGAGGAGTGAATCAGTACACAGGTGTCTTCTTGTGAACCTTCTGCCCACCTTAAGTTGTAAAATAAAGGCTAGAACTGGTGATTGGGCAGTAGAAGGGGAGGTGGGGGGGGGAGCTTGGAGGAGAGGGAGAGAGAGGGAGAGGAGAGGAGAAACGAGATGTGGCAGATGTTGCCCTCGCGTCTCTAGCTATCAAAGGTAGTTATTATCAAGGTTAGATATTTGGGGAAACAGTTCTAATTGTGTGGCATCTTGTGTAGTGAGTATTTGCTGATTATATAAATTTATTCAGTTAATCTTAAGCATTAAGAGTCTTATTTTTACCAGGTACTGGAATTGTTATATCTACTGCATGAGGGTGGCGGATATTCCCTGGGTTTTGGGGGCTGGAGGCCATGGAGCTAACCAGTGGAGGCAACAGCCACGCCAGCGTCTCATGGCCACTGGCCAGCCGGTGCCACCATTAGTGCGGGAACTTAGAGCAGGAACATGGCGGCCAGGCAGAGAGCAAGCCAGGCAGTTCCTTTTTTCTAGTACCTCCCGCTACACATGGGAACCTTGTATCAAGATATCCCGTTCTAAATAAAGGGTCTTGATACATGGCCCTGGCTCTCACAGAATATGCTATATAGTCCAGGCTGGCCTTGAACTCACAAAGATCTACCTACCTCTGCCTCCAAAGTGCTGGAATTGAAAGTGTGCAGCACACCGCACTGTTTAAAACTGCTGGGGAGGCAGCTCTGCAGTCAGACCACTATGTATCAGATGTAACGTGCCTCACACTCTACCTCAGCTGCCTCAGTCTAGTCCCCGAGACCTTGCTCCATCGTTGGGGTCAATGAGAGCCTGAGGTGAGGTGCACAGGCCTGGGTGAGCCACAGACTTGTGTAAATGCTGGTTATTGCAGTTCCCAACTCTTGTCTCCTGAAACCTTCGACTTGTGACTGGTTTGGCTGTGTGACTGTCACCCTCCTCTGCTTCTGCCTACCTGGAGAACCTTTCCTCACAGTGCCTCCAGGGACCAGGCTTGGAGTCTCCACCTCCTCCTCACTATGAGAACACCAGTTGCTTTGCCTGGCCTCTGTCACGCTGTCACTGGAGTGTACCCATCGCATGAGAAAGGCTGGATAGGGTGCAATTTGATAGTCCCACCACATGGGATTCAGAAATTACCAACCTTCTGGTTGTCTGGGATGGAGATTATATTGCACTTTTGTCTTGAGCACCACAGGTTCAGGATGAGAGATATAAAATTTTAGTTTTTAAAGAAAATTTTAATTAAAATATGTGGATTTGTACACATGAGTGCAGTGCTCGCAGAGGGCAGAAGAGAAGTTCCTGGAGCTGGAATTACCTACTACCAGCTGGTGGGTACTGGCTCTGGGAGCTGAACCACATTTTCTTAAGCACTAAGTCCTCTTTCCAGTCCTGTAGAGGGATGCTGGGAATGCAGGCTTTGAGCTGAATTCCAGTCCAACTATTAAATCTGGAGATAGTCTCTCTACATGCTTACCCTGGCTGGTCTTGGTCTATAGGTCTTGGTTTTCCCACATCAGCTTCTTTGGCACTCGCTAGGATAATTTATTTTTACTTTTGGACAGGGTCTGGCTATGTTGGGAGGGCAGGACTGGCCCTGATCTCTGGTTCTTTCTTGCCTCAGCCTCTGGAGTTTGGATTTAGGTGTGAGCCATCATACTTGGCTCTCAAAAGTTTTCAAGTAGGGTTTACACCAGATATAATGAAACAGTGTCTGTGTATAGTGTACATGCCTTGTCTGTCAGCCTCGATTTTCCAACCAGGTAGCTCCTTGCTGCTCCAAGGAAGAAAGCGGAAAGATCCAGCTTGTGGCCAGGAGACTGGTTTTAGCCTGCACAGACTAAAGGGCCCACAGAAGAGGGGCTACCCATCACTGAGTGAACACTGCCCCCTGGAGGCTAGTGCCTGCTATGGCACATGAGAAAGCTGTTCTCATACAGAACTGGATCTAGAGACGTTTTCCTTCCCAGTGTCCCTTGGTACCTATGGTCCATAAAAGCAGAGCCTGGTTAAGTTGCGATTGGGTGAGGCTCTTGTCTCACACCAAGCTCTGAATGGACCAGCCTGCCTGTCACTATCCCTGATCGCTTCTCAACTAAACGAAATTCCTGTCTCTGGCTTCTGTATATACTGCCTCCAGCAGGGACTATCCACAGCTCTGCTGGGTCGTCTGTTTCTGTTGTACAGATGTCACTGTTTCTCACCTGGATGTCCTCAAGTGGCTCAGATTGTTTAAGTATTGCTCAAACCTACTCTTGTGATCCCACAACATCTCATTTTCTGTTTTGGTTCTGGGAATTGAACCCAGAGCTTGTGCTCAGTAGATAAGAATGTAGCCACTGAGCTACATTCCAGGCCCCCACCCCACCCCATGGCATTTTTGAGACGGGGTCTCATGTAGCCCTTGGTCCATTTCCTTTATGTTGGAAGATGTGAGGCCCTCCCCGTTGATGTAGGATGTAGACTAGAAGAGACAATACCTCACATGGAGATGCTCTGTGACCCTTAGTGTCTAATCTCTGCAGCCTCCTCCCTCCCCCTCAATGAGAAGACTCTGCTTTCCTGCTCACTCACACCCTCTTTGTGCCACTCCTCATGGCTCTTATCCTGCCATGGCTCAACCCTGCCACCGCTCAACAGCTGACACCTCGAACTTTCCACACCAGGATAAAATCTTGTTGCCCATTGCGGTCCAAATCCAAGTCTTCTCAAGTATGCCAAAAGCCTCTCATGAATTAGTCTCTTGAGAATCCCTTTCTCATTTTCTGCCATACTTTCCTTTCTACCTTCTTTCTGAACCCTAATCTTGTGGTACCTCAGAGACAAGGCCGTTAAGCTGTTGAGAAAGTTGTCGCAGACTCTCAGTCGATGAGAAAGTCCTAAGGGAGGAGACATAAGATCAGGGGTGCAGGTAGTTTGATGAGAACGGGGCTCATGGGCAGAGGCCTGCCCTGACTCCCTCAGCAGGAAACACTTACTTGGTCTCCTCCATGAAGTTAGAGCAATTGCCAGCATCATGGCTCTGTATGGGTAGAAAGAGATAAGGTACATTCAGCTTCTGCTTACTGTCACACAGGGACACAGTGGGCCAAATTCATCTCAACACCCATCTTCCCAAGCCTTCCCCATCGTGGCCTCCCCATGCCAGGCTCCAGGAGCAGCACCTGGACCAAGCCATCTGAAGAGAGAAGAACAAAGAACTTCTGGAGTCCTTTGGGAAGCAGACAGGAGGGTGGCAGTCAAAGGGGAGAAGCACAAACCTGAGGCAATGCCCCGCTAAGGAGAGCAGCATCTGCGCAAGGAACGACACCAAGGAACATTGTGTCATCAGCAGTCAGCGGTGCAGGAGCACCAGGTGTGGGCACCTGTCACAGAACAGAGGGGGGGGGTGGGATTAGAAGACCATGTGGGAGAGAGTATGTTCCACAGGACTCTGGCCAGCCAGGAATGCTGGAAGTGTTCCAGCTCTTAAAAGAGGAATAGGGCTGGAGAGATGGCTCAGTGGGTTAAGAGCACTGTCTGCTCTTCCAAAGGTCATGAGTTCAATTCCCAGCAACCACATGGTGGCTCACAGCCATCTGTAATGGGATCTGGCGCCCTCTCCTGGTGTGTCAGTGACAAGATGCTCTATACATTAAATGAATAAAATAATTTAAAAAAACCAATAACATCTATAACAAAAAAAAAAAAAAAGAGGAATAAAGGGTTTTGAGTGGCTTGCACTCGGCAGGTAGCTGGGGTCCCAGGTCGGTTGCCACTCTGATGTGAGCCTCTGCAGCCAGCAGGAGCCTGGAGCCAGGCGGGTCCAAGATCCAGCCTTAAATGCTTTGTAAGAGAGAACTCTTCAAGTGTTACAGCTCAGTAAAGACAGCCACTGTCAATCCTTGGTGAAGTAACTTGTGTACTTTATTCCGTGTGGATAGGGAGTGGGAGTGGGATGGGATTGGGGGGTGGGGTAAAGGTTTCCTATTGGCTGAGTTTGGGATGTTGGTGATGCCTATTTGCATGGCAAAGGACTCCATATGCTGCATTAAATGGCTGACTGCCCGTGGTCCTCTCAGTTGGTGTAGTTACATGTTCCAGAACAGGTATGAGGCTATGAGGGAGCAGCTCCACTCCTACCTCTCAGATCTCTGAGATTCCCAGGGTGAGCACACCCCACCACATCAGTTCTTATGCCTGTCTGGCAGCACAGCCTGTGTGGCCCACGGACATGAGGTGATGGGGCAAGTGGGATAGCACAGCAGCAGGCACAGGACAGTCGCACATGTTGGGAGCTACTGGGGTACAGACATGGCCTGGCCAGGCCTCAGGCCACCTAGTTGTATTCTGAAGGGCCAGAGCTCAAAGCAGGGGCTGCAGGGTCTCCTTCCTGAACACCCAAGGACCTAGTTCCCTCTGGAGCTCTGACCTGTGGCAGCCACAGCAGGTAGAAGAAGTGCCAAGGCCAGGAGGCAGAGAGCTAACTGCCCCTAACTCTAGGCCTTGCTCCTGGGATGGAATCGCCATGGTCAACATTCTCCCCTCTCCCCTTGCTTTCCTGCCTTCCCTCCTCCCAGACCCACACACTGGCTGTGCTTATTGATTCAGAAACAACTGGATAAAGCAGGGGACAACGGCTGCCCTTTGGCTTGCAGCATCCTGGAGATTGAACCTAATAGAAAAGAGGAAAGTGACAGTAGCTGGCCAAGCACGGGTGTCAGTTCTGTCTAGGGAATGGAAATTACATTTGCAAGGTTGGCATCAAGTGCCTTTTCCACTGAGCAGGCCCAGAAAGCCATCCATTAACCTCAGAGACAGTTTAAAAACACAAAGTTCTTAGCTACAGGGCAAGGGCTTGGGCTGAATGGTCTCTGAAGATACTGAAACAGATCAGAAGTTTCCTTGAGGAAACCAAGGCCTCAGACCCCTCCATTGTTCCTTTAGGATAGCAAAGGTCTCATAAGTGACTGGCAGATCCCTCTAGTCCTCCCCATCCTCCCCACACCTCTGCCCCCACCTCACATGCCACCTCTGAGCTGACAGGTTGAGCCCCAGCACCTGAGCAGACCAGACCACCTGGCCAGGATCAGCTTTGACGACTGCAAAGCCATTTGGCTCTAACTGATCGTCTTCATTTGCCTCTCTCTGTTCCTCTCCCCATACCCAACTCCAGCAGGATGTGGCCTTCACTCGGGCCTCCTCCTTCAGCCCGGCAGAGGCCCGTTTCCTTTGTCTTGCTGATGTCTCTTTGGGAATGAGAATCACGAAAGAAGTACTAACATCATGGCCAGAGGAAGCCATCTCTGTCCTAGCCAGAGTCACTGTGTCTGAGGTGTCTGTGAGGTCAGTCATGAGCTCACAATGCAGCTGTGAGCTCACAGCTCCCTGATCTCCAGCTCTCCATATGGTTGATCGTGACCCGCTTGTCATTTTAAAGGAAGCCACAAACGTCCATTCCAGCACCCTCAAAGTCCACTGGAAACCAACTTACCCAATTCAGCATGTGCGGTGCTGCCATATTAGGCATCCTGGAATGAGCACAGCTTCCCTCTGTGTGCATTAAAAACAAAACAAAACAAAACAAAACAAAAACAAAAAAACATGGGCACATGTGTTCTTAGGGTTTGTATTCCTGCACAAAACATCATGACCAAGAAGAAAGTTGGGGAGGAAAGGATTTACTCAGCTTACACTTCCACATTGCTGTTCATCACCAAAGGAAGTCAGGACAGGAACTCACACAGGGCAGGAACCTGGAGGCAGGAGCTGATGCAGAGGCCATGGAGGGTGCTGCTTACTGGCTTGTTCCATGTGGCTTGCTCAGCCTGTTTTCTTATAGAACCCAGGACCACCAGCCCAGGGATGGCACCACCCACAATGAGCCCTCCCATCCTTGATCACTAGTTGAGAAAATGCCTTATGGCTGGATCTCACAGAGGCATTTCCTCAAGGGAGGCTCCTTTTTCTATGATAACTCCAGCTTGTGTCAAGTTGACACACAAAAGCAGTCAGTACAACTGACCCTTTGTCAACTTGACATACAAACAGATCACTATTAAACCTCAACTTTTACTTTCTTATTCATCCCCAAGATCTAAATAACTTTAAAAGTCCCACAGTCTTTTCATATTAAAATTCAATCCCTTTAAAATATCCAATATCTTTTAAAATTCGAAGTTTTTTTTTTTACAACTCAAAGTCTCTTAACTGTGGGCTCCACTAACATTCTTTCTGACCTCAAGAGGGAAAAATATCAGGGCACAGTCACACTCAAATAAAAGCAAAATCAAGCTCTAACCGTCCAGTGTCTGGGATCCACTCATGATCTTCTGGGCTCCTCCAAGGGCTTGGGTCACTTCTCCAGCTCTGCCCTTTGTAGCACACCTCCCTGCCTTCTATTTCCAGCTGCCTGTACTCCACTGCTGCTGCTGTTCTTGGTGGTCATCTCATGGTACTGGCATCTCCAAAACACTGCTGTCTTCTGCTGCAGCTGGGCTACACTTTCATAAATAGCCTCTCACAGACTCTTTTCATGGTGCTAAGCTTCAACTTCTCTGCATGACGCCTTCAGTCCTGGACCTTCAACTGCCACTGAAGCTGCACCTTCACCAATGGCCTCCCCTGACCTCTCGTAGTGCCAAGTATCAGCGGCTCTTCATGACCCCTTCATGTTTCAACACCACTACCACCTGGGTGACTCTTATCCATAACCAAGTCTGGTTGCCAACACGAGGTACAACCGTGGCTGCCTCTGGAACACAGCTACTCTGTGCTCTCAGGAAACACTTCCCAGAAGATTTCACCTCAGTGATGCTGGTATCTTCTTAATCACTGCCAATTTCTTAGCTCTAGCTAACCAGCATCAATTGTCCCAATAATGCAAAGGTTTTGCTTTAGTAGTTCTGGTATCTTGTTATTCACAGCTGATTCTTCAGCCCCAGCTAACCAAAACCACAGAATCTTCACAATAAAACCAGCAATGGCCCTGATAAGAGTCTTTAATCTTCCTTCTGAAATTTCACAAGCCAGGCCTCCATCATTTGCACTGTTCTCAACATTATCTTCCAAGCTCCTACAGAACATCCCACAGAGCTCTTAATATCCCAATGGCTCTTCTAGCCCAAAGTTCCAAAGTCCTTCCACAGTCCTGCCCAAAACATCGTCAGAAATATCCCACTCCTGGTACCAATTTGTTTTGGTCAGGGTTTGTATTTCTGCACAAAACATCATGACCAAGATGCAAGTTGGGGAGGAAACAGTTTATTCAGGTTACACTTCCACATTGCTGTTCATCACCAGAGGAAGTCAGGACAGGAACTCACACAGGGCAGGAACTTGAAGCCAGGAGCTGATGCAGAGCCATAGAAGGGTGTTACTTACTGGCTTGCGTCCCCTGTCTTTCTTAGCATGCTTTCTTATAGAACCTAAGACCACCAGCCCAGTGATGGCACCACCCACAATGGGCTGGGCCCTCCCCTGTTGATCACTAATTGAGAAAATGTCTTATAGCTGGACCTTACGGAGGCATTTCCTCAACAGAGGCTCCTTTCTCTATGATAACTCCAGTTTGTGTTAAATTGACACACAAAAATCAGCCAGTACAGCACATGCACAAGTATATATGCACATGTGTGTGTGTGTTTGTGTGTGTGTGTGTGTGTGTGTGTGAGAGAGAGAGAGAGAGAGAGAGAGAGAGAGAGAGAGAAATATTGAGAGATTGAGAGATTGAGAAAGAGCACACAGGGACTAGTGTGTTAGTTTCAGAACAGTCTGCAGGAATCTTTACTCCCCTGCCAGTTGTGGGTTCTGGAGATGAGGCTCAGGTTGTCACTCTTGGCAGCAAGGCTCCTTACCTGCAGAGCCATCTTGCTGACCTTCAGGAAAGCCTGTTGCTGGCTAGAGGATCATAATATTCTGGGCCAGCAAGGTTTTGTACTTGTTTTTCATGTGGGGTGTGTGTGTGTGCATGTAAATAAATATATATTTATTGTTGGTTTTTGTTGTTGTTGTTGTTGTTTTCGAGACAGGGTTTCTCTGTGTAGCCCTGGCTGTCCTGGAACTCACTCTGTAGACCAGGCTAGCCTCGAACTCTTGAACTCAGAAATCCGCCTGCCTCTGCCTCCCAAGTGCTGGGATTAAAGGCGTGCACCACCACCGCCCAGCATAAATATATATTTATACATATATAACATGCACACACACACACACACACACATGTAGGGATAGTGTTTATATGCACTGTGTGAAGATATGTTTCTGTTCTTCCTTTCCAGCGTAAGGCACCTTCTGATTGGTCAAAATAAAAATCTGATGGCCAATAAGCTGAGATGGGATTAGAAGGTGGGACAGGCAGCAGAGAGAGGGAGAGGAACTCGGAAATAGTCAGGTATGAGAAGATTCACCATCCGTACTTGGAGTAAGCTGATGTATGAAACTGAGGAGAGGTAACCAGCTATGTGGCAGTCATAGAATGGGGTAAACGAGATAATTGAATTATGAACTAGTTGGGAACAAGTCTAGCTTAAAGCCTAGGCATTTATTGATAAATTATAAGCCTCCTAATTATTATTCATGAACTGGGGCATGGGTGGAAAAGCCTGCAGTTATATATGCATATATATATATGTCATATATATGTGTGTGTGTATGCATGAAAAAAATATTTTAGACAGAGTCTCACTATGTAGGTCTTGTAGTCCTGGCTGTCCTGGAACTCACTCTGTAGACCAGCCTGACATAGAACTCACATAGATCTGCCTGCCTCTACTTCCCAAGTGCTGGGATTAAAGGTGCACAGTTAACTGTTTCTGGTATTCTCCTCCTCCTCCTCTCCTTCCTCCTCTTCCTCCTTTTTTGACAGAGTTTCATGTAGCCCAAGCTGACAAACTTGTTTTGTAGCCAAGAATTACCTTGAACTTGTTGATGCTTGTGGTTCCACCTATAGGGTGCTGGGGTGACAGGTGTGTGCGCTGGGGTGACAGGTATGTGCTGGGGTGACAGGCATGTGCTGGGGTGACAGGCATGTGCTGGAGTGACAGGTGTATTCAAATGCTACACACTGTCCCTCCAAGGTCTTGTTGTAGTCCCAGGAACACATTCTCATGTACACCAAATGATGTATAAACTTTGCTTGCCAATCTTCTCTGAGTGGTTAAATAAAAGTGGCTACAGCCAATTACTGCGAAGACTAGGCATAGGCGGGTTCAGTTACTGTGCGGGGTCAAAGGTAGGAACCACAAGGAGAGAGATAGAAGGAGGAGGGGGGCCACTGTGAGAGGAGACGGACCGTGAGCATCTGTCCAGGAGGAGTGCATCTGGAAGACTGACTGACGGAGCAGAAGGCAGCCCGGGTGAGACTCAAACAGCAAGTAACTCGGGGAGCGTAGCTGGGAATTAGCTAGTCTAACATATAGAAAAATAGATTAGGGATAATTGCCCAGTAATTGTGCTAAGCTGATTAAATACATCGAAAGAACTCAGTCTTGATTATTGGGGGGCTGGCTGGGTCATATTAAGAACTAATAGAGTTAAGTAACAGCACTTACAACAATAATAGATTTAGTTTTTACTTTTTAATTCATTTTAAATTTTATTTTATTTTATTTATTTATATATATTTTGACAGAGTCAAACATACATAGCTCTGGCTGTCCTAGAACTCACTATATAGACCCGACTGAACTTAAAAAGATCTACTTGCCTCTGCCTCCCAAGTTCTGGAATTAAAGGTGTGCACCACTGCCTGGCAGGCCCGTCTACTTTAAGTCCTAGTGTCCTATGGATGAGAGGCAGCAGACAGCCATGCTGACAGGTGATGGAAGAAGAGTAGCTTTCCTTTTTTATGTTGCCCTTCAAAACAATCATATATGGGGATCTGCCACGATCACAGTAGACAAGGCCTTGACATCTGCCCTCACTGTTTCACCCATTTAAACATTTTTACATTTTTTTTAAGAGATGGGAGTGCTGGGCAGTTGTGGCACACGCCTTTAATCCCAGCACTTGGGAGGCAGAGGCAGGCAGATTTCTGAGTTCGAGGCCAGCCTGGTCTACGGAGTGAGTTCCAGGATAGCCAGGATTGCACAGAGAAACCCTGTTTCGAAAAACCAAAGAGAGAGAGAGAGAGAGAGAGAGAGAGAGAGAGAGAGAGAGAGAGA